TATATGCTTTGTTTTTTCTGACAGTCTTTGTAAGTTGCCTAGGGTGGGCTGACTTGAACTTAGAATCATCCTGCTCCCAGAGTGCTGAAATTACGGGTGTGTGCCTCTAGGCAGATAGTCTTCAAAGTTTTATTTCCATACAAATTTTCACAACTATTTTCTGGCCAACTGGCCAACTTGATGTCTTTGCTTGGATCACAAAGCTATAGAACTAAAAGACTGGGCAGTGGGCTGGTGAGATGGCTCGGTGGTCTAAAGCACCTACTTAGAACAAGCTTAGCAAAGCACAGGAATCCCCCAGCACCACATGCCAGCCAGCCCCGCCCCCTGGTGGGCTGAGCTGGCCACACACCCACACCCACACAGAGAAATAGATAAATAAATAAATAATTTAAAAAAAAAAGGCTGGGGAGTAGTAAGAAACCATGTTAAATGCTTCATTTGCTTCCATTCTTTCAACATCAGCAGAATCCATGACAAATACAATTCCATCTATACATCTGGTGTATGATTTCAGCAGTGACATTAATTTCTCCAGACTACTTGCATCCCAGAAGTGGCTGTGAAAAGCAGTTGCTTTAACATTTCTCAAGGTTACCTAAATTTTCTGAGCATTAAATCTTTCAGTAGGTAAGATATTTACAAATTTATTGAATTGCAGCCTGTAAAAATTGTCTTTCCAGCATAGTTCAAGCCAGAATAATGATGTGCAGAAACGAAGTGGAGGGAGGCTGGAGGGGTTAGCTATCTGCTCTCATAATGTACTTCCCACTTGCAGCTGTAGGTAAGTGTCACAAAGTGAGCTGCTTTCTTTTCCCTGCTCTTGAATTTTCTTCCCTGGTGATTTAGCTACAAGGCCATTGCCTAATTGGAGTCCAAGACCAACTGGGGCGGGGGAGGCGGAGGAAGCACTCCATGGCTGCTGAGTTTAGGTCTCCCCAGAAGTCCTTTGCCAAACTGTGGTGTTGTACTTTGTACAGTGACTAGATTGGTATTTAGTCAAAGGCACAAGACAGTTGCTGTGCCACTTTCTCTTCTGCTGCTCCCTCAAAAATGTGAGCTCTTTCCACAGTAGCAGCCAGCCTTTCCTTGGGTTCCCTGTTCCTACACTGATGTTCAGAATTGCTGCCAGCCACAATTGGGAGATCACCGGGCTTACCTTGTTTGTGTCTCCTAATTTCAGGTTTTCAGAGATTATGTTCAGCATGCAAATTGGTATGTTACCTAGTTTACCAAGATACTATATGTGTCTGAAATTGTTTTTTCCTATTTGTATATATACCTTTTAAGATTGTAGATGAAAATCGAATACTTAGTTAAGTGTTACCTGGGTGTGGTGACACATGCCTCTTAGTGTAGCCGAGGCTAAGGCAGGAGGCTTGCAAGTTTAAGCCTAGCCTGAACAACTTAGTGATATTCTGTCTTAGGAAAGAAAGAACAAAAGAATGAAAGAAAGAGAGAAGAGAAAAAGAGAAGAAAGAGCTGGGTGGATCACTGTGAAGACCCTTGAGTTTGACCCCTTGTACCACAAGACAAAGTCTTAAGGGTTTAATGCAGTGCATGATACATATGAAGTGCTAGTGTTGTTATTATTAATATGTTGGTTTAGAAATTTGACCTTGCTGTCTGCAGTTGTCATTTATGCACAGGAAGTGCTTTATTGGATAGTATACCTTGAACTGTCTGGCAAGGAGTGCAAGTCATGTAGGAAAACAGAGTGCCATCTAAATTATAACAAACGTATATATTGTTTCTTTTTTAATATGAAAACTATTAGCAGAAAAGGAATTTGTTATACTAGAACTTACAAAGAAGAACAAAATATATGTATATATTTACATATAATCCAGGTGTTTGGGAAAGAAGTCTTACTGCCTGTGGTGGCTCATGCTTGGACTGTGAACTACTTATGCGACTGGGACCAGAAGGTCAAGGATCCCTGGCTGGCCTTGGGTAATCTGTAGACCTTACCTCAAAATAAATAAACAGGGCCAAGAATATGGTTCGGTGCTCCCTGGGTTCAATACCTAGGAAGGGAGGGAAGAGGGAGGTCAGTAAAAGCCCAATATAATTATACAAGGGAACTGGAGATTAACAGTGTAGATTTAGTAGACGGAAGGGGAAATATGGAACTAAAGATAATTATAGAACAGTAATACAAACCTTTACAAAGTGACTGGAGCCACAAAGTAAGCTGAAGTTTCTAGAGAATCCTGAAAGGTAACGTAAGTCAATTAAAAGATGGTATCTGAGACAAGATTAAGTTTTAAAAAGTTCCAGTATCATCAAATTTTTACATGGGATAGAACCATCAGTTCGGTTCACATTTTACAAGTGAGTTGGAAAAAGTATAATAGTAGAATAAAAATTATAGACAGTGATAGGCAACTAGTAAATGAAATATCTAACCATTTAAAATATATTTAATTTTTAAATGTAATTTTTAATTTATTTTTATTTTATTTTATTTTTTTGTGGAGCCGGGGGTTGAACTCAGGCCCTCGTGCTTGCCAGGGAAGCGCTTATTCCACTGAGCCATCCCCCTGGCCCCCTTTTATTTTAAGGAGGAAAAAAAAAATCCCCCAAAACAAGTAACAAGAACAAAGACAAAAACAAAGCAACATAGAACAATAGAAATGGTACAGGATTTCAAAACAAGAGCAGAAAACAATGGTTGTTACATTACATATTGTTACCATCAAATTTGTTGCACAGATTACCAGATATAAGCATGCAAAATTGGTCAAGCATTATACCTGTTTAAAAGAAGGAAAGTAGACACAAGTAAGGTTTACTGCAGAATTATTACTGTTACCAACTACAGGAAGTTTTTCTGCAGTTTCCTGCAGCATAGCTGAAGACAGCACAAGAGACCTGTATTCTCTCCCTTCCTCCGCCACCTCCCTCCATCCCTTGCTCATTTTTAAATTTGGTTGTGACATTCCTACAGGTTACCTCTGGAATGGTTTAACTCACAATGAATTTGTATCCACAAAAAAAAAAAAAAAAAAAAAAAAAAAAAAAAGATTGGCCAAGCAATTAAACATTAACTCTTCCTTTCACTAAACCTTTATTTTCTTTCCCTTTTTGCTTTTTTAAAATTTATTTTAAAGGGAGTATAAAAATAATTGATGGGACATTAGAGACGATATATATTTAAAAGAACATCTAAATGTAAATTAATATCTGCTGTAACTGCCAATAGACTTGCATGACTCATACAATTGTTGAGTAATTCTTGAGAATTTCATGAAAATTGAATTAACACCTGGAAATGATGCTAACTTGGTTTTTCAGAAAGGGCAGGATGTGTGCTCCAAAATTACTGTACAGTAAACTTGTTACTAATCTTTGGAAAATTTCTAGAAAGAAAGCTATAAACATTTATGAAAGAATGCTCAAGTGGAGACATTTAAATATGTCTACCAGACCAGGTGCAGTGGTATGCCTGTAATCCCAGCACGCGAGGCTGAGGGAGGAGGATCATTGGGCGTTTAATACCAGTGTGAGCTACAAAGTGAGCTCAAGGCCAGCCTTCATGAACTGCATAGCAAGACCTGTTTTAAAAGACAAAATCAGTCAATCTATCAAGAACGTATGTCAGATGAACTTGACTTCTGATAATAGGATTGTGAGATTTTGGTAAATTAGAGTAATATTGAAAACCCATAATTTGAGGAAAGTTTTTGGCTATCTTCTCTGATAATATGTATTGGTAAAGTATTAAAATTTAGAATAAGTAGTTATATTTGTTACAGTTAGATTTGTAATAGATTGAAATCCAGAACGACTATTTTGATTAATGTCAACCTTGAGACAGATCATCAAAACATTACAAGGGGATTGACTCTGTTTCATCTCACTATTTCTATTACTAATTTGACTAAAAACGTAGAAAGTAGGGTTATCTGCTTATAGCTTGTTTAAAGCTGAGCTTGGATAGCTGATATTGTAGAAGACATTAAAGAAGGTATCTGTAAAATCTTTCCTAATAAATAAATCTGCTGCATTTTGGTGTTTCCTTTTTCTGACATACTTAACATGTAATACTAATTCATAATCTAGGTATTCCAGGAAAATTTTTTTGTCTTCCCAATGTTTTTACTAAATTACTGTATGACTTTCATGTATTCCTTATTATGCCATAATACCTTTATAGATTTAATAATATGAACTGAGAGTTGGAAAAGCCTCTACATAAGCTGTATGTTGTTGTGTATTCTAGGAATATGAAGCACGAACAGGGAGAACTTGTAAACCATCAACTCAGTCCTCAAGACGTAAAAATTTTGAATTTGAGCCACTTTCTACCACTGCCTTGATTCTTGAGGATCGACCATCGTAAGTACAGTGTTTAGTGATCACCAGAGTGCCATTTATATTTTAAGTATAGATTTAATTTTTTTTCACTATTTCACTTAAAAGATAGCAAGAAATTATATACAGTGAAGGATTTATTTTTACTGAAATTTGAAAATCCCAGTCATATATCCTAAAATATGGAGAACATATTGTTGATATGGAAGTCTTGTGCATGTGTTTAGAGCTCTCTGTGAGCCAAAATATGAAACAAAATCTTGGCCTTTGAGAGATGTGGTGGTATATGCCTGCTAGCTTACTATTCTGGAAGGTGAAATAGGAGGATTACTTGAGCTAACAAGTTTGAGACCAGCCTGGTCAACATAGTGAAACCCATCTCAGAAAAACAAAACAAAAACAAAGGTTGGCGCTTTCTTTTTCAACAGTCTGCTCATCTTGTATGACAGGGCCAGTGTTTTTCTTTCTTGACATTTAATGTGTGTAGTATTTAAGATGCATTTGTTCTTGCCTTTTGCATCATGTATTGAGTGTTACCAGTTGATTTACTATTATTGTTAAGAATCTGTTCTTAAGGGCCAGCCAGATAGCTCAGTGGACTAAAGCGCCTGCCTAGGCAGAGTGCAGGGGCCGGGGTTCCATCCCTGGAACTACAAGCCCTGCCAGCCCTGCCCCCAGGGTGCGTTTAGAGGACAGTTGAGACTGGGCATGGTGATGCAGGTCTGTAATCCCAGTGCTGGGTAGGCTGAAAACAGGAGGATCACTATGAGTCTGATCTGTGTAGTGAGAACCTGTAGACCCTGTACTAAATCCATTAAAAAAAAGAAAAAAGAAAAAAGAAAGCAGCTGTTCTTAAACGCTGGGGATATAGTTCTGTGATAGAAAATACGCTTAGCTTGCCTGAGGCTGAGGATTTAGTCAGTACCTACCCAAACATCTTAAATCCCACCCCCCCCAGCTTTGCCCTTTTGCCCTACAATGGCTGTTGTTCAAAATAATATTGTCTGATTTGTTATCAAACAAAAATACACTTTCTCTAAAAGAAGATGTCTTGTTTCTGAATTTCTTTTTACTCCTTAGGTTTTTGGGATCTATTATTTTTCTTTTATTAGAATTATTTTTCCTTCCAATGTAAAAATTCCTGGGCTTACTTGTAATTTTCCTGATTTGTACTTACGATTTTAATGAAGAGAAATACAGAATCTGGAGCCAAAAAGGCAGAGGTAGAATATTTTTTAGATCTTGTGAGAGAGTAAAAGCTGAGCATATAAGTACTTTTTAAAAAAGTTCTTGCTAATGTTTTTTGAAGAGCTTCTGAAAATGTCATTCAAAAAGTTCTGTTTTAGACCAGCCTTTCTTTGTATTATACCTTTTCACACCTCTGTGAGCCTTCTTGACTTTTCTCATGTTGTTACACTCACTTGAAATGTATTTGTCTTTTTTCTGCTTCTCACTGGCTTAGTCCTTTAACAGCTAAGGTTCTCTCTATATAAGGTCTTTCTTGACTTTTTCAGTCTTTAGTGACATCTGCTTCTGTAGAGTTTCCTTAAAACATATACAGTAGATCCTTCAAACAATGTACCATGAAATTATTTCCACACATTATACAATGCATAGCTTTATAAGCTCACAGTGCATCAAAAGTGTTTTATTTTTTTCACTCCACTGTTGAATTGAAATTAATATAAATTGTGCTGTTTACCATATTATTATTTAATGTGTTAATTATAATCTGTATTGTAGTTTTTTTGTTTATTCATATGAAATATAGAGAGTGAATTTGATCTCTCTTCCACTCAAGTCTGAAATGCTGTTACAATAAACAATTTTATCTTTTTTAAATTTGAAAGGGCCTTTTTCAGGCAAGAAGTGATTCTACTAAGTGGAACTCCTGCTCAGTGCTAGCAGATTGGGGCCAGCTAGCACCCACACAGTCACAGATTGAGAACTAGAAGGGAGACCTGGATAATCATGAGAGTTTCTTCTGTTTATGGAGGCAAGCAGGTTCAAAATAGCCTGTCTTATTTTTGAGTCTAACCTACTAATAATGCCACTGTATCAGTTATGAGGTTTCATCTATGAGGACTAAGAGACAAATTGATGCAGATTGTAGCTTGAAAGAGGCAGCAAACCGATGTGGGAATTCCATAGCTGAGGTGATCCTAAGAGGAGAAGAAGGATTTCCCCCTTTAAAGGAAGTTTCTGAATTGGTTCCACTTTTTCTTGGTTTCTGTAATTTGCAGAAGTATCCAGAATTAATTTCACTTTTTTTTTTTTTGTTTTTTTGAGATAGGGTGTCCCTATTCAGTTCAGGCTAGCCTTGAATTCACTTTGTAGCCCAGGCTGGTCCTGAACTCACAATGATCCTCTTGCCTCAGCCTCCCAAGTACTGGGATTACAGGCATGAGCCAACATGCCCAGAGATTTCACATGTTTTTGAATTTTTTTCTTTATAAATGGAGTTTTTATACATTTAATTATCTGAAGTTTTATGTAAGAATTTTAAATGTAGGGCAAGTTTTGGGGAAGAACAACCCAACAACATATATGTTTGTTTTTTATGTTTTATTCACTGTGTAGAATAGTTACTTAGCAGTTACAGTAGTGAAACTCTGCTCTTCCTCAAACTGTTAAAGATTGGTGTGATATTTACTGTATGGCTCATTCAGCTTTGAACACCCACTGAACGTGTGGGTTTTGTGTAAATGATGACTGAAGAGGAGAACTCTGGGACTAGAATTATTACTAA